TTAGATTCTCCAGGCAGGCACTTACACCAGAGCTATCTCCCCAGCCTGAGGCAGAAAAATATTAAGTCATCAATTTGCCTTATAGTTTGTTAGGTCTCTGCTATGTTGATACTGATGTATTTTAATATTGAGGAAATTGTAAACTCTTATTATAAGTAACTTGATGTGAAGTAATAATTCACACATTGCCCAAGGAGCGTCACAAAATAGCTACCACATGAAAACGGGCACACTTGGTGTATGGCTTCTACAGTGAGCATCACCATCTAGCATCAAGATGCATAAAAATGTACCGCAAAGTAAATTTTATTTATTTGTTTATTTATTTTCTGTAGTTCAGGGAAGGGTCTACAGGGTGTTCAGGGTCTCATTACTAGATCAGACTTGTAGTGATCCACCTGTTTACAGCCTCCCAAGAGCTGGGATTACAGGTATGCGCACCACCACTCCCAGTCTCAATTACTGTCTCAGTGCACCCCGGGGGCAGGTGCAGCATGGCAGGCCCAGGGAAGGAACCCCCGGCCGTGCACCTGCTTGCAGGCACTTTAATCCACTGAGCCCAAGTGCAAGTTTTTTGCTTTTATCATTTGGAAGAACCTTGAGCGGAATCGGAAGGTGCGTGGCCCAGGCTAAGTGCAAGGTGAGAATGGTTTAGCCAGCAGGGTTGTAGTCATGAAATCATAAGCAGCAAAGACACTACAGGGAAACACAACAACGACCGGCTTCCAGGTTGGGAACTGGACATGCAAAAGGGGTCGAATGAGCTTACGAATATTCCTGCTCCAGGAAGGGTTTGAAAACTGATGGTAAACACATACTTTTTGAGGCCAAATTATTTGAACAAAATGAGAAAAATTCAAACCAATGAGAAACATCAGATATTTGGCATGATGGAAACCAAGAATAACACCCGACTGTTTCACTTCCCGTGGTGTTCTGCACATACTTACGATGGGGTGAATATAATAATCTAAGAGACAATTTTAATATCACAGTTACTAAAAACTTCTTGAGGCTAGTGAAGTCATAAATGATCTCAAGACAACTGTTAAGACATTGTTTCCAATATAATGCTAATTTTCTGTATTTTCACATCTTCATTCCTCAGGAGAAAATCAATGCTGCTGCTTTGTAAGATAGGAGTTGACAATTAATAGATTATCTATATCATGCTATGATTTTTTTCTTTCCATATCGCTATGGCTTTGATTTTGCAAAATTACTTTCTTGCCGCCATCAGACCTTTCTCCCAGTGCCATGATAACCAGCGCTATATATTTATTTATTTTCAAAAGAATGACCTATTGATTTTTTTTCACAGAACTTTTTTTTAAAAGAGCTTGCTTCCAGCTACTATGCTGCTTTTTTAGGCAGGATCACTATGAATGAGTTTATCATCTTTTATGCCACATACTGATCTCTAGACCTTTAAGACTGTTATTTTTATATCTGGAAGTAGAAAAGCCACACTAGTGATGATATTCATCATCGGGAAGGTGCTATTTATTCATGGCCAGTTACCATCTCAAAAAGAGCTCTCTAGAAGAGAAATAGCTCATGTACACTGAAGACTGCTGGCATCCCTCTGAGGTCTAGTTACTACCATGAGATTACAAACACGTTAAAATATAAAACACGCTGGTCTATTGAAAGGAGCAGTCAATGGTTAAAATTTGATTTATTTATTTAGTTTTCTTCTAATTTCTTATCTTATAACTTCTTTTTAAAAACTAATTTTGCAGGTTTATATCTGGTAACCTAAAGAACTAATTTGAAACCAACATTATGCAATACAACAACCATTGTTGGATTCCTATCAATTTTGTGTTCTTTCTAATGTTTTTCTTTTACCATTTTACATCCTTTAAAACATATGCTAAACATCCTTAAGTCTGACCTAAGGAGAAGGAACAAAGAATCACAAATATTTATAATAAGGAACAAATGAGTATTGTTGGTTTGCTATATAGAAGGATAACCTTCAGTCCTCTGTAGGAACACCAAAGTGCCTTGAGGGTGTCATACTAAGTGAAGTAAATCAGAAACACAGCTTACGTATCACGCAGCTTCTCAGCAAAGCCCAAAAGATAAATTCAGGGCAAAATAAATGACAGATAGTAGGAAATAGGGAGGTAGGCTTTCTAGAACAGGCATGGAGTCAAGAGATGAATGGTAGGCGAAGCGAGGGAGATGGAATGAAAAAGGAAGAAATAAATGTGTTCTGTGCATGTGCCAGCTCCCAAGGAGGAATGTAATCATTTTGTTCTGCAAACACGGATTGAAAAACATTGGGGGGAGAAAAGCTAGCATGAAAGAGTACACAAGTCTCCATAAATACAAAAGAGAAAACTTGAAAGAAAAGCTGTTATGTAGGGAGGAAATTCTACCCGGATTCCAACTATTACACCCACCTGAGGGAATCAGCTTTGAAACATACACTAAACGCCACACATTGGCAAAATGATAGTGAAGAAATGAACAGGTCAATGGAATCTGGAATACTAAGACATTGGATCTCTATAGTCCAACAAATTTAAACAGATTTTTAAAGTATCACATGACAAAAGTAAGCTAGCCTTAGGAGTTACATTCTGCACTCATTTTGTACAGGTAGCATCTACAGTGGAAAAATGTTACTTAAGACCCACAATTGCAAGTTGCATTTCCTTAGACAGTTGAGAAGGCTGGATGAAAGTGTCCTAAACACCAATCTTTATTTCCGACTTAGGGTTCTCACACGATATTCAGAAGAAACAGTATACAGGCATCCTTCTTTACCCCGTGCTCAAAACCTCTGCAGCTGTCAATGCAGATTATTTGCACACCAGACATGCCAGCCCCCTTTCTCCACACAATCTCCAGATATTAAGCAAGCACTGTGAAGAGAAATGCACGCGTGCACACAGATACACTCGTGAGCATCTCAGTGTGCATTACAAGTCCCCACCATCACTCATTCCTTCTTATGGTGTTTTCACACTGTAGGATTGCAGTTAGGATTACAATTTGTATTCAACACTCAGCTCTGTCCTACTGAATCAGATGCATTGTGTCCATTTACACTTGGGAAACATTAGTACATAAAGATTAGCGAAGATAAGCACCATTTTATAGAACTTGAAAACTAAAAGAGATCTTTATGAAGTAAAGTAATGAACTTGTGAAAAAAGAACCACTCTGTAAAATTTCTTAAATAGATTATTAAAATTTTGCTTTAATAAGAATTCACTCAATTTAATAATATGAAGTATAGTGGTACTACCAAATGCTGACCTCTGGGAAATTGACAGTTTCCATTAGATTACATGAGCAATAGACAAGGTGAAACTATTTTAAAACAATAAATTATTCAGAATTTTGAGAAAAGCCTGCTTAAGCAGAATGTGCCATTTTCTGCCTCGTTCTCTCTCTCTCTCTCTCTCTCTCTCTCTCTCTCTCTCTCTCTCTCTCTCATATCCTTCAAAATGAAGCAGAATAGTAAAATCTGTTTTACTTAATAAAGCCATGACAATCATTATTCTTTATTCCATATAAGTCACCTTACAATGTGTTAAAGTTGTGGCAGATGCTGTATGGATCACAGGACCATATCATTCCTTGACTCAGAATTAAGTGATCATATGAAATAAAAAGCTGCTGTACCCATCAACCAATGCAATTCTTTTCTTCCTGAGATCACAAACCAAAGGCTGAAATGGACCTACCCAAAAAGAGTGCCAGTACATAGACATCGCAGTGATTTCCAAGACACAAAGATAACTCAAGAACAAAACACGGAAAATTGAATCTGGAGCTCCAGATGGCTGTACCTTCTTGAGTTCTTTACCACCAGTTTTCAGTGCCACATTCTAGTCATGCATTGTACTTTTTGGAGGAAAAAAAATGTATATATTGATCAGTGGCATCCAGATAACATTAACTGATATGATATTAATAATTTATCATCTTGCCATTAGCAGTTCTTTAAAACAACGAAACCTAGTAGAAGTGTGTTGTAATTGAAAGCATGCATGGATAATGTGTAAGAAAGATTTTCAAACAGGAAGTAAACAAGTTCGCCTATGTATCCAATGAACACTGCATGGGTGGCTTTGCCTTCAGTTCTGATTGTTGTACAGTCATTAGATCCTTCCTCAGGAAGGAGAATTTTTTTAAACAACTTTTTTTTCTGTCTAGCTATTGCAGCTGCTTTTATAAAATAACAAAAGTCACAACAAAAATCATACATACACATACATGTAAAATTAGGGAAACAAGTCTCTTTATTGCCCAATTTAAAATGAGCACAATCAGTAGAAAAGAAAAATGCTCTCCTATGCAGCTTGATGAGCAGCTGAAGACAAAAATATACTCTGATGCCATTTTAGAATTTAGGGTATATCTTACTCAGTGAAAGCTGAATGAAAAGAAGGACATTTCTCCTCTTTTTCTAAACCACTAAATTAACAAGTGTGATTTATGTAGAGGATGTAATCTATCGTAGGCAGGTAAAAAGTCTTAAATGTGATTCTGAGGTTTATTTATATTTATTTATTTATCTTGTGGCTGGCTCAGCTCACCCTAGGGACAGGGCTGGCACAGCATGTGGTACCCACAGATCAAACTGTGGTCTTTGTGTTTGCCTGAGCTTATCTAAGCAGATGCTTTAAACCGCTGGGCTAGCTCGCCAGCCCAGATACTGAGGTTTATAAAGGAAAGGTCATATTCTTGGTTAACTCCAATTTATAAAAAGGGCATTTAAAAATCTTAATTATGAGAAGCTTTGATGAAAGTGATATAATGCTGATAAGTCAGAACCAGTAGGTAAAGTACACAAAACAGATCGTTAGCAACGCCTCTTTGGTACGAAAGCACACGCTGCGGCTGCACTATAAGGTGAAAGTGAGCATGTGAATTTATAGAGTTACAATGATTAAATCAATTGCTACATAAAGCAACGTCTCCTAGGCCTAGAGAAAGAAGATAGTGAAAACACGTGGAAGGTAGGAACGCGCTCTTACTCTTGACGGTCGCTGTGCGGGTGCAGTTATACAGGATAGCCAGCTCCCCGAACACTTTTCCTGGACCCATGGTGCACAGCTTGACGCCCTCCTTCGTAACTTCAACCTTCCCATCTGAAAAGGACAGGGAAGACGAGTTATCTTGATTCATTCCCATTTTTCTTTTTGCATTTTGAAAATGAGACTTACAAAATTTTCAGCTTGTTTCTAAAAATGCAAATTAAGAATGAAATCAAAGCTGTCGCCAAGTTACAAAGCAAGAGATGCAGTACAATACATGCAGTAAGCAGCTTTCCTTGTTCTCAAACTTATCACTTGAGAAAGACAAGGAAAAGATGAAGAAGAACCAGTGACTGTAGAACATTACTGCAAATGCAATATTAGTAAATCATAGCAATCCCAACTTTGACACTTTTGAGTCTGAAAGAAAACATGTAAGTGGACACATGCTACAGCACAGCACATACTTGATGATTCTCATTTTGAGAAAGACAGTTATTGTGAGAGTGAAGTAACTCTGACCCCTGGGTATTAGTTAATGGTACCTTGTGATGTCATTGTATCTGTAAACATCTTTTTTTTTTTCTTGTATTGAGTACAGGGTCTATAGGATCTCACTACGTAGATTGGACTCGTAGTGATTCTCCGGTTTTCAGCCTCCCAAGCGTTGGGATTACAGGAGCGTGCCACCACACCCAGTCTCAATCACCATCTCAGGGACTGGCAGGGCAGGCTGGGGATCAAACACCTGGAGCCTGTACCTGCCTAAGCAGGTGCTTTAATCCACTGAGCTATCTGGCCTGCCCCCATCTGTAAACATCTTATCTAACTTAACAAGGCTGTCAATCTGCTTCCCAGCCATGTAACAATGCTTGTCAGAAACAAACAAGGAACCTTAAACCTTCAAGGAAAAGAAAGAGTCATCAGGGGTGTTCCTTTGAAAATGAAATGCTAAGGAAATACCTTCCACTGGATCCACCTTGCTGCACACAAGTAAGGAAAATGATATTCATGGGAGAATCCTGTGAACACCAATGGGGGAAAACACATTTCTAATCAAGTCATACCATTGTAGGCTAAAAACACATTCAATCACCTAACGTATCTGAGGGAGATATAAAAAGGCAGCACTATCTGTTGTAACCTCAGTCCTCCTCCCTTATATTATTCCTCCAAATTTCCTGCCCTCAGTGTGCAGAAGAAAAGTCTAATGCTTGGCAAAAGAGTTGGCTGCTGCAGGAAGATAATGTTACCCCAGCTTTGGCTAAACTTTAGGCTTCCTTCTTAGATGTCTAATTACCCCGTTATCTGTGGGCTTTCTGTGACAGTTGGCATTTTCCAAGTGCTAACTTCCAAAATGAAAGTGAAGTTTATCAACCTAGTTTAACCCACATAACAATATTTTGGTTTTTTTGATTTTGTTTTTTTGGTACCAGGGATCAAACTCAGGACTTTGCACTTGCCAGGCAGGCACGTAAGCTGCTGGGCTGTCACTCTGGCCCACATAATAGTATTTGTAAAACACATGTTTGTGCATTTTTAAATACCTGCTTAGATAAATCTTACATATTAAAATGCTTCAAGTTTAATCCTTTTTTTTTTTTTTTTCAGAACCGGGGATTGAACTCAGACCCTTGCGCTTGCTAGGGAAGCGCTTATTCTACTGAGCCATCTCCATGGCCCCTAATCCATATTTTGATGTTGTTCTAAATGCTGTTTAAAAGGTATCAGTTAAAGTTGTTCTAAAGATATCAGTGGAGAGAGACTCTGACCAACAGACACAAAATTTACTCACTACATATCATTTGTGTATACTAACTCCCTCTTTGTGTAATGAAGGTATTAGAGAATGAAAAAAATCCAGTAATTCAAAAGGCTTAGATACAGCTCCTGTACAGGTGTGGCTTGCTATGCTGTCTTCTGGATGGAGAAGAAAACTCTTCTTCCTTACATAGTACAACAAAACCAGCCCAGAAAATTCATCTTCTCACAAGCGCCCAGGGCCTGTCCATGGTGTTCTCCCCTTCCTTCACTGGTGAGCTTATTCCACTAGAGATTTCATCTGTCACTAAAGAATGAGACAGACCAGATTATAACATGGTAGTGAGATACAATTGGGAATTGAGTTCTCTCTTTTATTTCTTAAAAGACTTACGATCTTGGGCTAGTTGTTTAATGTCCAAATGTCTGTTTTTTCATGAGTGAAATTAATAAAATATGAGCATCTATTGCATTGGGTAGTTGTGAAAATTAAATAGGATATAACAAGTACAATTCTTTTTTTCTCCCATAATTTTATTGAGAAACAAATAGCAATGAGACAGTTTCAAACCAAATTGGTAGGACAGTTTCAATAATTAACTTATTGCATACATTCTTCCTAGTGGTTAATTGCTGTACAAGATGCGGACATGATATCCTATTTACAAGCACTATTAGAACAAATCCCTCTATTCATTAAGAGAATGTACTATATTTCTATCCTAACCATTTTGAATACACAGATACAAAATGGACATTCATCTGTATCCCCTTTTCTTGTTTAGTTCCATTATTTGAATATTATAGGTATGTTAACTCAGCAAAATATTCTAAAAGAGTCCAGTAGTCCATAATAGTATTGGGTCTTCTGCTTCACTGGCAGTGTCAGAAATTGTTGACCTGAGTCCCCTACAGCTCAACATAACAACATGGCTTTACTTCCTATATTTCGTCTTCATACTTTTCTACTGGATGGTTAAGACCAAGGTAAAGCAGGACCTATGCAACAAGAGTTGTAGCTTTTGGGTCTGATAAGGTCAGTGAAATTCCCTCAGGATTTATCTGAGGTCCTGTGCCTCAGATTGTAGATCCTTTGTCAGTGTCAGCCATGTGGATGAGTCATGGCCATTGCTTGGCCAATGTGCTCTCTGTGAAAGCCTGAGAGAATGTTTTCTCTCCATGTGACTCTCCTTAGGCACACTCTACATCATCGATCACTTTCCTCTTTGGCCCCATAATCTCCTTGATCAGAAAATTTGGGACACTACTGAGTTACATGACATTATAGTACATGTTCTCCTATGTCCTGAGTCCTAATTGACCTTGGAAGGCTAGTGCCAAAATGTTGGCTTTCCTTGAGGCGCTCCTTTTTCTCTAATTTTGGTCTGCAAACTTAGGTTGTTAACCCTCCAGAAGAGAAGCTTATTGTTATTACCATACAGCCTAGGCTGTTAAGCTTAACCTCACTATCTGTCTGGTATCAAACATTTTAGGCATAACATGGAACAGGTATTTTTCATCAAGTATTGATATGTTGATCTTTAAGTCCCTACAGAATATGATGAAAAAACATTTAGAAATTAGAATATATTTTAAAAATAGGCATAAAAATTATATAATTATGTTTACACATAAGTCCAGAAATCTAACCATATACAAACAAGTACAATTCTTTTTTTTTTTTTTTTTTGGCAGAACCAGGGATTGAACTCAGGCCATTGCACTTGCCAGGGAAGCTATTATTCCACTGAGCCATCTTCCTGGCCCTCTACTGATATTATTTTCATTACATTTAATTAGCATTCATATGGAAGCATGAATTATTGAGATTACATTGGAGCATGATATTTCATCATCTGTTTTGGAAACCAAGCAGGTTTCAAGTAAGAAAATAGGCATACTCCTTTCCTTAGTGTAAAAGAATTCAAGGTTGTTCTTCCATGTAGCACTGAGGAAAGAATCTCTACATTTCAATGACTTTCGAGCTCCCAACCCCCAACCAGAAGCCTAAGGGTACACACTAAACTATCTAGAACAATGCCAAGTTACAGTACTCTTCTCTCTTGGAGTATGTCTAGCCAAGATTTGATGGGATATGGCTTCGGTCTTATGCAGAGGGCTCCCAAGGATAACCCAGCAACAACTTTCTGGTGTATGAAAAATTTTCTCTTGACCTGAAGCCCTAGCATTAATTATAAATAGAACTAAGAGCAAGATGAACACTACTTAAAGAATCCGAAGAACTTTCATAAATAAATGATTTTGTACAAGTCTGCTTCTTTGTCTTTTTGGATTTCACATTTTATAGTTTCAGTGGAAATAAGCCCTCCAGCATAAAATCACTCCTGGGGATCCTGCTGGACAGTTTGTTAGCGAGGCCTTCTCAAATAACAAGGCGCCTAAATAAAAGACAAGGAGGGACATCAAGACTGTGGTTTTAGTTTCATAGCTTTTGAAAGGAAATCTGTGGGACTACTAAATCAGAAATAATTTATAAAATTTAGGTTTTTCACTTATGGGAAGTTAAAGAGCATTGGCTCTGACCACAGGATACTTAGTCCTCCAGTCTCCATTGCTGAAAACTGCGCTAGGATCTTTATCTCTTTTAACCTAGGGACAATGAGCCTCATAGCCAATTGTGCTTCTTGTTCTCGCATGACCCCCACACAGCTTCCTGCCATATCTTTGTAAGACTCTAAGGTTTGGAATTTATGCATAAACTCATGGCTGGTTTCCATTTTTTTCATTTTCTTTCTTTCTTTTCTTTTTTTTTTTTTTTTCATATTTAGTGCAGGGTCTCCAGGGTCTTACTATGTAGAGCCAACTCATGGTGATCTTCCTGTGTCCAACCTCCCAAGCACTGAGATTACAGGCACGCACCACCACACTCAGGCTCAATCGCAGTCTCAGTGTGCCCCGCGAGTGGGGCTGGCATGGCTTGCCAGGGATTGAACCCCAAACGCAGTGCTCTGCCTAAGCATGCACTTTAGTCCACTGAGCTATCTGGCCGGCCCTTCCACTTGATTTCCTAATCTTACTGTATTTTTTCTTTTCTTTTCTCATATTTAATTTATATTTATTGAACACGATATGTATAAATTATACATAGTAAGTATCCATATATGTGTAAATATTGCTGACAATAGAGAACTGTATTGTATATTAATTAGAATAAACTTTAAAAAAATTTTTTGGTGGTACCAGAGATGTGAACTCAGCACCTTGCACTTGCTGTTACTGATTGCAAGTACTTATTCCACTGAGCTATCTCCCCAGCATGTACTAAAATTTGAGAAAGAGATTTAGATTGTTCTTGAGTAATAGAAGTTTGCATGTATGACAGCCTTTTGGTT